GCATGCGATATTCGATCAACTACTGCAAACGATCTATATCTGGGTGCTAATAATACAAGAAGGCTCTCGATTAAAAGTGGAGGTAATGTCGATATCAATACATCTTCTCCAGGTTATCAACTTGATGTGAGCGGGTCTTTCAACTCCACCAGCTTTTACATGAACGGAACATTGATCACAGCCTCGGCAACAGATTTGAATGGAGTAACGGGATATGGAACGTATCTGAGTGGTATCACTCCGGGCTCTGTCGCAGCGAGCAAAGCTATGGTTACCAATGCAAACTCAATGATTCAGTTCGGATCCGGTAGCGCTACCACAAATCAGATCAAATACTTTGCGAGCACGAGCTTGAGAGATAGTATTCGAGTCTATCGTGTTGACGATTCCAGTCCACTGACCATTGGTACGGATCCTCTAGCACCAATAGAACATATCCCATTCTAAATCTCGTTTCTTCGATTGACCCCACTGCACAAGTAGGTGGCGTGTCAGCAACATCTGCCGATCTATTCAACATCAGCTGGAATGACAAGTCCGCTGTTGGCTTCATATCTCAGACCCATCGATTTTGCTTCAACATTGGCAACAGTCAACCATATAAGTCTGGAGATCCGCATACGTATACTCTTGCAACTTCTGCTGATGCATTTGCTGTCAATGTTGCGAGCTCTACTCATACACCAACATCAGCGTGCCTATACCTCGTGAGTGATACAATAAACAAGATGATGTTCAACAGTAACACGCCTTATAGCTCTTGCTATGGTACTGCTCCTGTTACGTTAAACCAAGGAAACGTTTATATCAAATGCAGCAATGCGTTGAACGATGGATCATCGAATTATGATATGCCAATATAAATGGAATCATCCAATGCATCTCCAATTGGTTTTGGATTGCAATTGAACAATGCAACGAGTGCCACCTCTACCAATAGCTCGTATTTTGGTACCATTACAACCAATGATCTCGTGTTGATGACTGCGAATACACGGCGAGTCACTATGAGTTCAGCTGGTAGAGTAGGCATAGGAACTGGTTCACATTCTGCAACGCTGGATGTCTCAGGGACAGTATCGAACACATTCAATGTTGGTGGAAGCTTATACTCTCAAACAACATCGACTGCATCAACCTTCAGTCAGCTGGGCCCAGTAACAGTTTCCGTTAGTGCCATGTTCTCGGGACCAATCCAGTGTTCCAGTATTTATTGTACTTCGGACAGACGAGCTAAAGAAAACATCAAGCAACTTGACGAATCCTACTGTGAAAACTTCTTCAAGGCAGATGTATTCACATATAACTGCATTGGATCGGAAGAAACCATTCCAAATATTGGCTTCATTGCTCAAGACTTGAATCGCCTTGGCTACATGAATCTGTTGACTCTTACTCCAAATGAAAACATGAAGAAAGAAAATGATGATGACATCGAAGGAGCTCAAATGAACATAGACTACAATAAGATCACAGTCATCAACTTGATGATGATCAAGAAATTGAAGAAGCGTATTGAAGAACTAGAAGCAAAAATGGGCCAACTAATATAGACTATGGGAGCAAAAAAAATCAAAGCTAATACCCGAAGGTACAGCCATAATCAACTGTGATATCCTCTAATTCAGAAATGAAAATCGATGGAAGGATTCTGCTGCCAGTCCAAGAGGAAAAAGCTTCCAGCGTGATTGAGATAGATTTGAAACAAACAAAAGATCGAGGTGCTTCGAGGAGTGAAAGGGCGCTTGACAAATAAATTTCTCTCAACCAGCAAAGAAAAACCACCAAGTGCATTCGTATTCAAAGACGATTCGCAATTTCGAGAGGATAGTTTCTCGATGTAGAGTGATATTGTTCAAGTAGAAACTTATGTGTCTAATACATCCTTCATCCACTCTTCCAATTTTTTTGTATTCGTTCATGTTGGCCTTCGTATGTTTTTCTTTCATTTTCGGTGCATGCAAATCAAAATAATTATTGCCATGTCTTTCATCTACTACAGATTTGAATTGTGATCTGATAGTATTAAGGAGATTGTTTCGATTCACAGTTGTGCTATCATCAACAACTTTATTAAAATAAGTCTTCAAGCGCTCCCTAACCTCCTCTTTCTTATCAGCGCCAAGATCAGCAGAGCTCATTTTGCGCTCCATTTCTTCCTGAATGGTTTTAGTTTTTGGTCCGAGATTAGGAGACGTCTCATCCGGAGCAGGTGCATTGCGATTACGTTTTAAAAACGCTTTTGCAATTTCACTGGCCTTATCGTCAATATCTTCTTTAGTAGTCTTACGGTTATGCATAAATACCTTGCTTCTAAAATCTTTATTTTTCGTTTAGTATTTTCGAATACGATCTTGAAAGGCTTCTTCCACATTCATTTTTTTTCTTTCTTTTAGTGTAATCGAAGTTATTCATATGGTTCATGAAATTTTCGTCATTGAACATTTCCTCGTACGAGAAGCTCGGTGGAGCATTCATGTTCGCGTTCGTATCAGTTTGCTGAGGAACATACTGATATTTCTTTGAAGATGTGGATTTGGATTTGGTTTCTTTTGGTGAGGGTTTGGTTTCTTTTGGTGAGTCATGGAGCTTTCCTTCGCTACCCTTAACGACCGGAGGAGCCTTCTTCGTGAGCTACTAGCGATCTGATCATAGTCATAATCACGCGATTTGCTCATTACTTGTTGGAACAGACTTGCCAAAAAATCGCTGCTAGCGTCGTTTAGTGCTTGCTGCTGAATCATTGCTTTCAACTTTGCACCTTGTACAAAGTCACTTTTCGCCATTGCATTGTAGTAGCGATCACACGCTTTTTGCTTAGTTTGGTTATCAGTGAAGAACCCGTTCATTTGTGCCTGGATGCTATATTTGGCAAATCAAAAAAAAAACTAATTGATAGCGGGTCGGCATTTAGCTTTGAACCGCGCCTTGAGTTACAGTGCCCATGGCAGTGTCAACCGTCGCGACACCTTCGCGTAGAATATGATAATAAATCGTAAGCGCGTAGTTCGTGTTGTTCGTGCCTGAAACAATGATCGACTTGCTTGCACCATCTTTGCTGGGTAGACGACGGCCAATGTCAACAGCAATGAATCGGTACAGTGATCGCTGAGATAGTAAGCCAGCATTAGTGACGTCATCGAGGCCACCA